AGTCCATTGTGATGACCACCTTTCCTACCTCCTCTCCAACCTATCACCTTTTGGAATATCTAGGTAAATACCTGTTCATCAGTCACCCAACTTATTAAAGCAAGTTTAAATCCTCAGCCACTAGTGTTTTTTTTAAATACTTATTTTGCATAGAACACTTAATTGCTTACATCTGCATCACAGATTGGGTGGGGTTTTTTTCAATATGATTTGGCATGCCGCAGGTTTTTACAAAGCCAAAATGAGGTGTAAAATAATGACAAATATGTAACAAATGGTTAAAAAGTAAAAACGTCAGAAGGTGGGAGGCTGTGGGACAAAGTGATTTCCTTGACAGGAACATAAGTGGGGAGGGCCAGGGGCAGCCCATAACCACACAGAGTGGGTGCAATGAGCAAGGTCCCAGAAAACTCTGAAAATTTAGGGATTTTAAAGGCTTTTGTAATCATTTTTTTAGTCATGCATACTAAATATTACAATTTTTTCCCCCCAACAGTGTCCATTCTCCCTCCAAAGGGGGTTCTGGAACTCCTTTGGCACCAGAACTATAAGTTTCATTGATAAGCAAATTTTATTTATTTATTTTTTTTTAGAGAATATAGCTTTTAGAATGTTCTTATATCTCAAACTAATACACAAATTCCTATATAATTTTCACAGTAATTACAAAGCATGGAAATGTAATTGAACTAGTTAATACTGCATTGCAATATAATTTATTACACTTCTCAGAAATCAAACTAATACCTGAATATGATATATGTACTTTAGCTTAATTTGATACATGGATTTCTTATATGATTTAAACATTGGCATGATTTATGAATAATCTCATTCAAACGTCAGTATTAATTTATACAAAACTCCATAATTGAAAATGAAATCAATTTCTGGTTTAAACTATTGATTTTTGACATAGATTAATTTAACGAAACCTAAATGTGTATATTTCAAGGTTGCTGTGTTGTCCATTATTTTCACATTCTTAATTTTCACGATTTTTTTTTTTTTAATCAGGAGGGAAGTTTCACTACTTTCGTTCACGCACAGCTTCCCGTGCAAAATCCATTTTCGCCTGTGGTCCTATCATATGGAATGAATGACCCCCCCCCCTCCCACCCTTCAAAATAAAATAAAAAAATAGTTTAATCACATTCAAAACACACTTAAGGACACTCATGCTGAATAACTAATATGTTTTCCTAAATGGTCTCTTGGTCATCCTCTGTTGAGTCTTTTTTTTTCTCCTTTTAATTGTGTAGTTAATTTATAAGCTGCGGCTTATGATAGGTGTCGCCATTTGCTATAATGTACAGAAGGTTAAGACAAAGCAAATGAAATAAATGATTGATATTAGTATATAATATTACAGAATATTTGACCTGAGCTTACATTACATGCTACTGAGTTAATTTGTACCTGAAAACCATTAGAAGCTTTGAAAAAGTAGGGTGTTCAGAAAGGATATAATTTTCCTCATCATCTTAATACAAGTTTTAATACTGCCTATAGATCGTATTATCATTCTTATTTTTAATATTAATTAAGCTTGTGAATTTTGATTAGAATGTTTAATATTTATAAGCATTTTAAATATTTATAATCCTTTTGAATTTAAATCTTATATAAGATTTTATGATTATAATTTTAAATATGAATAAGCCGAATGAATATTAATTAACCATGTGGCTTTTTATAAGCAATTTGAATATTAATGAACCATTATTACAGGCCTCGCATAAATAACTGATCACACATTTGAGGGAGTAGAAGTCACTGGAGCATGACAAATAGAATACAAAATGCATGCAACAAGCTAGACAAAAATAAATCTCTTGGTATGTATTTAGGTCTTATCAAGTACATCAGTATGGACTAATTATATTTTCTCAAACCCAAAGTATAGTAGCAGGCTGAATGTAGAATTTTATTAGTAACATTCATGTATAAGATAGTATAATACATACTCCAAATATCGAAATGCACGCCATCATATGTATGTATCACCTACATAAATAATTGTATGATCTTCTTATCAATATTTTACTATATGTTTTTTTTTTTATATTCTTGGCTTATATTAGTATATTTATTTTTTTTTTGTTAGGTGAGGTATTTAGTACAGGCTTTATATTTTACAATAGATGGTTATTGTGATACCCACCCTAGTTGTTATAAACATAACATGTATTGATGGCTTTTGTTTATCAATTGTAAACTTCAAATATTCACTCTTGTTGAGTTAATTAACTTGTACAGTTAAATTCAATATTTGATATGTATTATTTTTATACAAGTTAAATTATTAGATTTCAATTGAAAATCAAGACAAGAAATCCATTTTTTGCTTTCCAATATTGTTTACATAATTGAGCTGGTACGGTAATTAAAATATTTTAAAAGTTTTTGTTATAACAAACTTATTAAAAACTGAATGGTTCAGTTAGTATTTTACTGGAAGGTAATACTTATATTTTGACCTTCTAAAATGTGCAAATTAATGTTTTAATTAAATTACTTTCAGATATTCATCTTCATATTTTTGGTCATTACTATAAAAACAAATTAGAACATTTGATTTTAAATTTTGTTATAGCCTATTTATTCTATCACTTCCTATCAGGATTAAAAGATTGAACTTGCTTTAAAGACTATTGAATAAGGAATTAAGCAGGCAAGGTGTTATCCACTAATCTACAGCTCAATTCTAATTGGCGTCTTTATCTACTTTACTTTGAGTTAATTGGTCATTAAATTACTTAAGTTGAAACCAAATGATTTTGTTCATTCATAACAAACACATGGTAACTTAGCTTTAACTGGTGGTAGGTTTTGTGCCTGTGGGCAGTGTACGATGAAGATCATCATCAGTTCCCTTGTACAAATCCTTTGCTAGGCTCCATATTTGATTCTAATAGGGGGCTGTAATACTAGAGCACAGAGAACATTATTGGAAAGCAGTTAATTGGTGGTAGCCAGTGTTTGTACTCTGTACCATGGAGATCATTGGTCCCTAGTTCGATAGACCTTTCTGGAGTTAGTGTCAGTAAAACCTAACAACTGACCAATCAGGAAATGGCCAGGAATTTGTGGACCTTAGCAACAATATCCAAGGGTCGGCGCTTAGCAGAGAGGTCCATTCCGTCATTGCAAGTGTATCATGTCTTTTTTTGGTAGAACATTTAAGCCGTTGGTCCTATGGGCAATATGGTCCAGGTGCATGTAAAAGAACACAGTATAATAAATGAATGACTTACAAAAGGCACATTTCCACTAGGGATAATTAAAAAAAAACTGTCTCCCGCCAGACACCACTTACAGTATTTTGGGGATATGTCTTGAAAGGATGATAAAGATACAAAATGTAAATTAATCATAACAAAGCAGTCGATTTGACATAACTGTTATAGGATATAATTTAGAAACTTAAATATCTTAAAATATCTTGTGTGCAGTCGCGATACAGGTATTTGATAAGAATCCATTTATAGCATGAGTATAGATGTGGAAGTTAATACTTACCTCATATCACTTCTTATTAATGTCAGTGCATTGGAAATGAAGTTGGAAAATACTCTAGGCTATTAAAATAAAAAGGGTTTATTTTTTTTAAAATGTTTCAGTAGAGCAGGATGAGATATTATGTAAATTAAATTACTGTATTTCCGGATGTACAGTAGAACTACAAATTGATGTTTCAAATCCTCTGAGGGCAGCCTGATTCTTTGATATGAATGATATTCTAATATTATTATTATGAAAATAAATATTATTGTTGTATTACCAAAGGAAACTGACATATGTAAATTAGAGGTGGTTGATCAGGAATGTTTTTGGTACTATAGGCCTGTGGCCTTTTCAAACATTTTGAGTTCCACCTTGGGGAAAATCAATATTATTAACCAAAAAATGCAATCCTATAATTTTTTACTTATGCAATGCAATTTTGTCATTTTGATCGTGGATATATTCTAATGTATAGGTGTAATTTTGCCCTACCTGACGTGGAAATGTACTGAATACACAGTACGTTTGAAAACAATTGCAAAAAAAATCGCAAGTTGTTCTCGGGTGGGACTCGAACCCACGATCTCCAGATCACTAGCCTGGCATCATACCTCTAGACCACCGAGTTGCGTCTGATGGCCAGGGTTGACATATTCTAACTTTCACTTAAGTTTCACATAATGTCCAATGCTTAGTATGTTTTCAAGTATTTCTTAAAAGTTTATTTTTTGACTTGAATGGTCAATGGTTGTGCATTTGTATAACATTTGTATGTGTGCTTTCCTGGGAAAAAAATAAATGGTTGAAACAGAAAAAAAAGAGGTAGGAAAGAAAAAGGCAACACAAATAAAGGAAAGAAAACAAGAAAGAGAGTAGAGGAAAATTAGAGATTGTCAAATAAGAAAGATTTTAAAAAAATAATAAAAAAAAGAATTTAATACAAGTTTCGTAAATCAGCCAGACAGGATTGCCAGTAGTATAATAAAATACTTTCCAGTGGCTCTCAAAATTGATTGGGAAACATAGACATAATAAATACATTAAAATTGAATTGTAGACATAATAGATACAAAAATTCTAATTGATTTTCCCTCCAATGATTTGAACTCTGAGGCAGCTGACTATGATTATTCAGTGTTTATACAATTTGACTCATTCAGCACAATCTATTTTCTATAAATGATATATTTTTCTTTTTTCTTTGAAAAATGCTCTAATATATGGAATCCTAATTTCAAAAATTCACCATGATATGGAATGGCTTTGCAGGATAATAAATTTATTTACACATTTCTCAAAACCAATAGCGATAAAACATCGCCACTTTGAAGTGTGTAAAAATTCATAAAATGCACGTCAAAATACACAATATTCAAGACGACCTCGTATGCATGTATACATTATGTATGTAATTTGAAGACTTTTCTCTCAAAATACAAATTTGTACAAGAACTATGCGTTTCTAAATTTAGTATTTCCTTCCTTTTCCTTAGACGCTTCACAAACCCAGCCGAACACGAGAAGATAGGGAGCGATTTATGGAGTACTTAAAGAAGACTCATCCAGACGATATTCCATTGCGTCACCCACAGGTAAGATATGCGTAGGTGTCATTATACACCTGTTCACACCTGAATCTAGACTAATTTGAAGCGGTGTTTCAAGTGATAACTTTGTTTCAGTCAGCATGAATGTCAATTCCTGCGTCACTAGTTTTGAATGTGACAATAAAATATATTTTATCTTATACGATTCTTTCTATCCTACGTGTTGTTTTAGAAGTCATTAAAAAAAATTCATATGAAATTAATTTTGCATTGCTCATTCATTACAGGAGTTGTTAGTTGTTAGAAAATTCACATTGGTCATTGGTTGGTCATGAGATATTTATATACATTCATATTCATTTATTCATTGATTAGTTGCTAGAAATTTGCATATTAATAAAACCATAGACTAAGCAAGTACACGCATCTAAAACAGGATGGGACACTGCTCCAAATCTGAGGCTTAGGGAGTGGAGTTGTAACCACTTAAGGTATAGGGCTCTCCACTCAGATTTTTATTGTCTATTTTACATGAAGAAAGAATGGATTGAAGAAGAACAGTTAGGAAGAAGGAACATGTTTATGGATGTGTTTAACATGGAAGGATTTGTAAAGGTTAATAAAAGGAAAGCGCAAAAAAGTGATCAGTGGAAGAACTTGGAACAATACAGATTACAGTACCAATGATGATGATGATTTTACATTCAAAGATATGTAGGCCTATGGTGAGTCGAATGGCCGAGCGGTTAGCAGGGGCGCCGCAAGCTATAGCCATAATATCGGCGCTGGTTCGAACGGCACGCTTGCCTATGGTTCTGGTGGTAGAACAAGTCTTCTTGAATAAAGACTATAAACCGTATGCTCAGGGTATACAATGGCTCGTGTGCACTATAAAGAACCCAGTACATCCTTCGAGACGAGTAGGGTGATAGCCCGTTGTTCTGGAACAGACAGCCCCTATGGTGAATGACGAGAGTTGCTGGTACCGGGTTACCAGGTAGCACAGACACGAAGGGACTCTCGAGTTCCTAGTCCACATATCAAGCGCCCTGAGCATCTTACATTAGATGGATATGTGCGCTATATAAAAAACTACACTATTATTTATTTCCATCGATCTATCAATTAATTCTATATATTTCTACTCAAGAGTTATTTCTTTGGTTGCATGCTTTGCTTTAATTCGATAATTTATCATCATCTAAAGCTACATCGATGATATTGTGAGCATGTGCAGAAGCAGCGCTCTAGTGAGCATGTGTAGTTTGTGTGTTTTGCATGATGAATCCTACATAGGTTGTTTATATAGGACACTTTAAAGGTGTTAGTAGTTCTAGTTGAAACTATAATCAGAATACATCTGGGACCAATATTGCATATCTGATTTTAACATGATAGTCTAAGATAGTCTTTTACCATATTGAGTTAAATCAAGGTTCTTAAATTACATACTGTAATAAATTTTTTTTTAATTTGTTAAAATGTAAAAAAAGCTTTTGTAAAATTTAAAGTTTGTATATTGTATTTAAAAGTTTAGTATACAGTATCTACTGAATTATATGATTTTTTTAAATAGTTTATAATACTATGCATTCTGACTACCAAATAAATGGCATTTATGATAACCAAAATTAGAATGAATTAAGGTAGCATCTTTTGTTACTGACATTTCATGTTTCAAAATATATTTTATAGCGCCATATAAATATATTATTATTATTATTATTATTATTATTATTATTATTGTTATTATTATTATTATTATCATATAGAGTACAGGTGGGCAAAGTACGGCCCGACAGTGTTTTAAAATGAATGAATGAATTAAAAACCCTATGTGTGCGGCCCACCAAACATTATCTGTAAAAGTCACATCAAAACTAAGAATGAAGTGGTATAAAAACAGTGCATGAAGGTTTTTTGTTGAACTGCTCCAACAATGGCCAAAATGGTTTGCACTCTTTTTTATTTCACAATAACTAGTATAATAATAATAATAATAATAATAATAATAATAGTATTAATAATGATAGTAATAATAATCATAATATTATTATTGTTGTTATTATTATTATTACTTTGATAATAATTATAACTTATTATTATGATAATAATCTCTGTTTTGCTCTTTTGTGTAATTTTGCTTACTGTCTCCGTTTTGATATTTTTAACTTTTAAGGCAATTTTCAAATTTCTTATGTATGTGCAATTCAACTGTTTTTAGTTGCGAATAAAGTACAGTATGTTGTATTGTATTGTATTGTTTTAGTAAACACTCTGGAAACATCAGAGCGAGGATACGGCCCTTGGTGTTAAATCAAAAATTCACTTTGGCCCTCTGACCAATTTTTATGCCCACATGTAGAGCATGATGTAAATATTTTCAAATAAATAATTTTGAAAAAAAAAATTTTTGATGACCGATATTTGATTTTGAATAAATTAATTGGCACTATTCTGTCACATGATAATGTACATTGTTTAACATTGTGCTTTTCATTAAACATTTTGAAATGAAAATAGACAACTTATGACTTTTTAATATGGATTTCAAGGGCCTTTTAAATCAGAACACAGAATGGTTCTATTATTCTAAAAAAACTATTATTGGGATAAATCTAAATAATATGTTTCTTTTCTGCAATAAACAAGGAAGTAAAATACCGTAATTCACAACTAAAAAGAAACTGAAAAATAATTATATTATACATGAAATTATATGTAATCAGTAGACTCATTGTCTACTTTTAAAAATTATTTTACCTTCTTTACTTAATGTTCTTTGTCCTAACATTGCCAAATAAATCACCTGCAGATTTACCTAATTAGCATTGATTATTGATATCATGTGTACACCATGCTGTTAGCACTGCACAGTTATCAATATTAATGTTAAACATATTTCACTAACGTAGTTAATGTCACCACTAAATACCACAACTACCGCACATGGTAATGTCACCACTAACCATGACATTACTAATGTCAATTACTGCATACCAAATACCACCGTTATATATAAAGCCAACTTTATATAATACCATCACTATAATTCCACCACTACATAGTGTTCCTAATATATAATGTCAATATGAAATGCCACCAAATTCCACCATTAAATATATTTTATACCACCAATACCACCTCTACATATATAATTTTACCCTAACTACCATAAATACCATACAACATCTAAAATGTCAGTATGTCACTTAAACTACAGAAAATTTCACTTACATGTAACTAAAGTCACTAAACAAACAACTAATGTCACTGACACATAAAAATGTTAATAGTCAACTTAATGTCTCTACACTATAATTATACTTCTTACCAGTGTTGCTTTACTAGATATTTGTAGAGACACATAGCTAATGTGCTTAACACATAACTAATAAAAAATAACATGTGATGAACACATAAGCAGTGTTGCTAGCAAATAACTAATGTAATCAATGCATAACTAATGTTACTAACACATAATTATTTCTACCGCTGCATAATTAATGCCATTGTAAAATACAGGATAGATAGAAAAAAAAATCAATATGTACTTCATCCTAGTCCTCCATATAAAAACTTACAATTTTTTTTTGAAATGTTAATGATTTATTAATTAATAACTACTGCTACCAATAATAATAATAATAATAATAATAATAATAATAATAATAATAATAATAATAATAATAATAATAATGTTATAGCAACAGTAATTATAATGCCAGCTAGTATATTTAATAAACACATTAATTGTAAAAAAAAAAAATTTGAAAAGAAATATTTGATATTCTAATTAGTCATGAAAAAAAACCAATGTTGGTAATTCATTATTTACCTAGATATAGATTAATACAATGTTCATAGTAAGAATAATATAGCATTGAATGATAAGGAAATATATACAGTAACTACAATATTCAAAAAATGTATTTATATTAAGATACTATATTTTGGATTGTCTTCAGTCATGTTTTTAAAGCTGTCCTTTGTGATGCTATTAATCATTGCATCAGGCAGTATTCTTTCTACATCCAATATACTGTATATCCACATTTATTTTATGGAAGAGTATTTATAATAAGCCTCCTTAAAACTCAGAAATTGCAACGGCCTTGTAGCTCTCCGTGTCACTTATTTAGTAGATGCCATGTACAATTGATCATCATACACTAGGTGATATGCTCTGGTATTGCCAACTCCCCTTTCATTGATTGTGGGAAAACCTATGTGATTAGTTGAAGCACCATCAGTTGCGAGTTGCAGGTCGAGATCTTTTACGCACAGTTGGATCATGCATGACCGGCAAACAAGCTACAGTAGACGACAATGTTGGTTTTCTTAAGTACAATAGTATACGCATCCTTATGACATGTATTTAAATTTTCTGCCGTGCATCTTGTGAAAATGACATTTGGTGGAGGACATCATATTATGCTTTCTCTGGATCTATTCTCCACAACAATTATGAGCAAACATTGATTTTAGAACACAGTCACGCAAGCAGTTTGAGATTAGTACTCGAGATTGTTTTTAGCCGTCAACTATTTTGACCTAACCTGGAAAATATACATTTTTTGTTGAGTAAGTATTAGAAAACCACTGCCTTGCATAGGCTATTGAAGAATTCCTGTTTCAGTTTAACAGTAATTTTAAGTGCTCAGTTACGCATTGATCCCGAGGAGTAATGATCATTTATAAATGCAGAAACATAATATATTTGTGGGTAACAACATGCCTGATGATGCAGCCATAGAATTGTTGTGTAGCCTGTAGCCGACAGATGTACTGTATACTGTAACTATTGAGTATGTTTTTAGTATAAAATATTGTACTAACTACATACATGGTGGCTAGGAAATTTTGTGCATAAGAAATGTGTATGTTGAACTCTGATTGTTTTGTACTCTGGTAAAATGAATACATATAATAAATCAGACATTTTTATTAAATACAAATGTATATTTTAAATACTGAGAGAGAAATATCATTTAAACACAATCTATATATATTTAAAAAAATTGATGTTTCTTATCTCTGTGTGTTATTTATTTGCTATAATATAACCTTGTTTTCCCCTCAGCATTTTTATAACCTTTATATCGGTACTGATAGTCACTGGAGTATAGCTTATTATGAAATATAGCACATTAATTTTCACCTTATATTCTGGGCTATATACAGTAGATCACAATTGGTATTATCACTATAACAATTAACTTTATGTGAGAATAAAAATTGTTCCAGGAAGAAATTTATTTTTTTACTTATTCTTTGCTAGTATCAGTGTGATTAACAAGTAAAATTTGTCTTGATATTTGCAATTATTTCAGAATGTTTATTGTAAGCCCTGTATTAAATAGTAATGATAATTTTGATCAGTTAGAGCCTAATAAATATAAGATTACTGTATATAAAAAAAATAAAAAATTCATAAATATACATCATCTTGGGACATATTATTCCAATTTATACATTTTGATCTACATTTGTTATATGATCCCTATGATGGCTAATATTAATATGATTATACTTGCAAACTACAAAAGCAAATTACTCTGCTGACATTAAGTACCTTAAGATCATAATTATTATGCTTCGAGCTGTTTTCGAAACTGTATTATATTATACAGCATAACCTTTAACAATGTAATTCCTAGGCAATTGCAGAGGTTAATAAATAAATTAATTTTGGGAGCGGTCCGTGCAGCGGTTGCAATTTAGACTTTCAACCGCGATTCAAATCTCGTGCTGGCTTGTACCCTTAAGGCCAGGTACTTAGTCTACTTGTTTCCTCTTCATACCAAGGAGTAAACATGGGTACACGAGGATATGCAAATTTGTAATGTTGAATGCATTTGTTTATGTTAATATTCATGCGAGGCTAGGAATAAGTGTGTAGGGAATGGAAAGGGTGTACTGTTTGTAATAGCCGCTGATTAATGATGTGGAGCATTTTTAGATATAAAGAACTATATTTCAGAACAATATTTGTATTAATTTTTAATGTAAATTCACAAGATTGACTATTGTGGAAGTTGTTAGAGAAGTGAAGCCTTGTTTAGACTATCAAATTTTATTTGGCAAAAATGTGTGGCATGCCCAATTATGGTCATGATTAGGGGCAGATCCAGAGATGTCCAATGGGAGAGGGGGGTGGGGCGATCGAGAGAACACTATCCTAAGGGAATTCTGGGAAATTTTTGTTTTCTTAGATGCCTGAAATTAACTTTTGAGGCATTTTGGGTGATCAATAATTTCTTTTTCTTTCTTTTCTTTTTTTACTTTCTAAAAGGGGTAAGCTGGGGCTTTCTCCTTAACCCCTCCTCCCCCCACCCCAAATAATGATAATAATAATATAGAGATTTATACCGCTCATTTTGGCAAGGGATGCAAAACGCTGGTGGTGATATTATTATCCTTGGTCATCGGATCCATGATGAAACCGGCACAAAGTGCAACCTCCTCACTCCCTGGGGAGTACAGTATTCCTTGTCCTGTGTACAATTTAATTCCAATACAGTTCCATCCTACCAGGTGCCCATTTATACTCCTGGATGGAGAGAGGCAAATGTAAGTAAAGTGCCCTGCCCAAGGACACGAGCAATGCGATGAGCGTTGGTCTCAGCAAGGTAATTCAACAAAAGGACGCACATCTCCGCTCTCGAACATAGCGCGTGCGCACAGTCCTTTGATCTTTACTGTGGCATCGACAATCCGATACTAGTTGCGAGTACAGCCGTCAATTATTAGTCTATGCGTGCCATTCGTTTTATGGTGTTAGTTTTTGTTTTATTAATTTTGGGTACTTCGCTATGTCTGTTACATTTGATTTTTTTTTACCGCGAGCTTGTTAAATGCTTCTATAAACTGCAATTTGATTTGTGAAAATTGACCAAGAAAATGAAAAGTTATAGCAAATCAAAATTTACGAATTTTATAAAATTTCATGTTCTTATGTAACATTAATCTGTCATTTTGACAATGTTGGCATAAGGTGCCAAGGACGAACATTTGAGTATTTACGGAACATTTATTAATTTTTTCTGCGAAGTGAGTCTCATGAACGACAATTCACCACAATTTTGGTAAAATTAATGTTGAAATGAAGAATATATTTCAGTCTAATGTTAGTGCAAAATATCATTAGGACTTTGTAATCACCGCGCGACTAACATGGCAACTAACACGCGCGTGGGAAAATCGTCACGTACGCTGACGGTTTATGGTCTGGTTGCTATGGTTTTTGTGACGTTCAGCGTGTAGGGACGCACGTGTGCCTAGAATGTCGATGCCAGAGTTATAACCTTTGATGTCCCGAGATGTGCGTCCTTTTGTTGAATTACCTTGGTCTCAGACTGAAGATCTCATGATTAGAAGTCCAAGACCTTAAACACTGCGACACTGATGATAACATCACATCATGGCCGTATTAACGGTATAGGCACATCGTGACTATATATGATCATACATTTTTTTTGTCGAAGAAAATGTGATACTCCAGAAGAGCTTAAGAATAATTTTATGTATAGGTAGCTTTGGCTATTAACCTTGGTTACGTTCCAGTACCAAGACTGTAGGCCTACATACTATAGGATTTGTGTTTAACCAAATTTCCCATCCCAACAACAAATCTAGCTCAGCCGCCCACCTCGCAAGAAGTAGTTCATATTTGCCAATCTTTCATACTACATATTTTGAACTCAATTACATCCCGTACTCATGTGTTTGCCAATAGTGCATTTTAGATTGGCCAATCAATTGTTGTCATCTACTGTAAACTGTATCCTTAAGTGCATGTTAACATTGCAGATTTGACCTCGCAAGGTGAGAAATTTGGAACACTAGATATTTTTCTCATTGCCCCATGAAGCAAACTTCGCACTGAAGATGATATGTGCACTAGCGGATTGTGATTACCAGTGTTTACATACACACAAGGCTGAAAGCTGAATTCACTTCTATGAGGCAGGGTGTAGCCTCATTGAAACACTGTAGTTAATATTTTATCTGTAATTTACTTTTTACTTTTCTTTCATCAAATATGCTTTTTTAGCTTTAAAACCTATGTTTTGTATGCACATTAACAGAGTAATATGTTTGGTAAAAGAATTAAACTAATTAACATAATGAAGTTATTTAGGGTGTTGTCTACAGGAATTACAGGATTGTAGATTTCTTAATTATTATATTATACACTATGAGAAGTGTTAAATTCATATGTAATTCTTAAGATTCATTCATTTCATGATGGGAATGCATAAATTATTATAATTTATATATATTTTCATTATTATATACTACCTCTATTTATCCTTTTGATTGTATTGTAATTGTAATTATAATTAGTGTATTATTGACCACCACATGGCAATAAGTACACTGTACCTGTACTGTTGACTTTCCCATGAAACAACATCCATTTTGTTGATTGTGATTCTTTTGCACTGAACTATTATATTGGAATTTTTTTTTAAAGCAAGTTATTATTATTAAACACACTTTGTCAGATGATAACAATATAGAACGGATATGATGCATTAGGCTCATTGATGTTGGCATTGATTTATTTTCATTAGGCACTGCCACTTCGGCAACCCAACTTTGGAAATGGATTTCGCGATGACATGGACACTAGGTCTGAGGCTGATGCTCCGCAAGGATTCACAAGGAACTCCAACTATCGCGCCAGCTTGCCGGTTCTAAGGAGACATAACAACAAATCAAGAGAGAAAACAATGGGTGAGTCGAATTTGCTTTAAAAAAAAAAAAAATGCATAATTACATACAGACCAAGCCAGGAAGCGCCTATACATGGCCATGAGGTTTAACTCATAGTCATGCACATTATGATAACAAGCTCTGTTTTAAAGGATGTAACAAGATTACATTACATGATGATGGGCAAGAGGGTGATTTATTCTAGAAGAATTATACAATATTTACTATATATTTTTTTTTTATTAAAAACCACTGGAGGACAACATAGTAAGTTACTTATAATATCAGATAAATTTCAGTTACCATAATTTTCCAGAGTCATGTTTCTGCAGTTTAGATAATTCCAGTTTGAACTTGAAATTTCTTTCAAAAAAAAAAAAGGTAGAAAAAAGAGTGATTATGTCCTTTTCCCCATTTTTAAATATAATCTGTATCATATAAATGGTTTCCGAGATATTTTTTTTTTGTCATGAACACCATATTTGTGTCTTTAAAAAAAATTAGTTGCAAAAACATTTTGTTCCTCTAAAGCCTGGCTGTAAAGTATTTTATATTTACTTGATGATACATTTTAGTTCCTAGCATCAATTATGATATATAGTTTGACTACTGTAAGTAATGTTCTTCTATGTGTTGAAATATTAAAACCAATAATAATTATCATTGTCTTTTGATATTTTTGATACATAAATTTTGTATCTTCACCTTAGCACATATAGCTATCAGGTTGAAGTGGGGTGAGAATATTCATGAGATGGAACATTCTATTTTACCTAGAGTGGCTTTATACCATCCTATATATCATTGAATATAAAATTAATGTAAATGACAAGGGACAGTATCGGAGGGCATGCTGTGTACTTTATCATTGCACGCTTTGTCCTGTGACCATGCCCAAACATGCTTATAACTTTTGACACCTCACAACAATAAGCCTACTCACAAATAATAATTAGGGCATTTATGAAAATGATAATGATCAATAATTGAATTGAAAACGAATACGCTGACAATGGGAACTTTTCAAGGTCTTTGCCAACAGATTAAACCTCGACATACAAAATGTGTTGCAACTGTTGGGTGGCTGTGAAGGGCCCTTATCGGTAATCTGTGGAGGAGGCTTAATCTGGATGGATTTATGTCAATAAAATGCAGGAAAAATATTAGAATGTTTATATATTAATTATGTTAAAATGAATTTGACCTACCAAAAATTATTTGTGGTTCACCTCTTGTCTGAACATCATTTTTTGATATTTTCTATTCAATATTATAATATACAGTATAATAATAAATTTTGTTAATGAAGCATTACATTATAATAAAATGCTACAGTAAAATCTAAAATGTTTGTTAAATTCAGTATTCAATATATTTGTTAATTTTTTATACACTTCATAAAAAAAAAATTAAGAATCACAGATTAACATCTTCATAGTATCTCCAAACCACACAAATGTTTTGTCGGAAGTGGTTTGGCGCAGTGGGAATGGTCTAGTTTCCCAACCATGAGGTCGGGGTTTCAATCCCTTGCTGTGCACTTCATTCGAGGCACCTTATCTGCCATCCTTCTCCCCACTCTAGAGTATAATGGATACCTGGTAGGGGTGCTTGCTACTGTGCTAGTATATAAATACCAAATAACAAACAAAATGCAACATCACCACCGATACAGTACAAATTATATTCAAAATATTTAAAGTATTACTAGAATATTCTACATAAATTTTTGTATGTAAAATAATTTTGACCTTGAAATTTAATTTATATTTAAGAGAAGTTAATATTATCCAGTATAGTGGTTTCCAATTAAGTGGATAGTTCCTACAGCTATAAAAGTTGTAAAATGCCCATGTTTTATTGAATTGTTCATTATTGGAATAATTTAAAAATCAATGATGATGAATCACTATCGCCATGTACACTAGGTATAATGCACATTGTATCGATTACACTGAGGTTTTATATTGGTAAGTGTTTATTGATACATGTACCATTTAATCATTGTGTTGTCACCCTGAACAACTAAAATCGTAAAGCACTTTTTTGAGTTATTATTTAATGTTGCTTATGTGGTGGCTTGTCCACCCATGACTTGGCCTACCACGGATCCCCATCAGTGTCTGTCCTGTCACTTCAACATCTTAAGTTGGTCCACTGGCACTCTTCTCTCATCCATGTCCGCCTAGGTCTTTTTTGTGGTTATGCCAAGTCATCAAAAAAGAATTGATTGCTTGTTCTTTGCTTTTTCATTGGCACTGATCTTTAACACTAAACAGCTTTGTCTTGTATTGCTTTTTCACTTTGATTTTGTTCTTTTGTTTTGCTTTAAAATTTGTTCATTTTAAAATTTAATAGGGGCAACATGGCCTTTTAGAATAGCATCCTCTCTGAATGAGACAAAATAAAGTTTTAATAAAGATAATAATAATTTAAAATTTAAATACTATTATCATATCTTTTGATGACAGTTTTTTAACTTGTTTATCCTCAAATATCTCAGTTCAACCAATTATCTTATGTATTCTTTCATGTAAAGGATGAAAAATAATTAATGTACACAAGCATAATTATCATTCTAATCATTGTTGATGACTCCTTCACTACCAGTCATTGTCGTCATCATTCCTATAAATCATTATTAGGACGTGAATAATTTGAATTAAAATTGGGTTAGTTTTGAATTAGCTGCTCAACTAAAAATACTCCACAGGGATCACTGGACGTTACACACAGTATATGATTGATTCTGTGGTTTAATATACAAATTTAGTGCATATTTGTTGTAACAACCTTTCAGTTTGTTTCCCCTCCCGTTAGGTGTAACATAGGTCAACAGAATCTTGATTTTGAAATCTATTACGTTTTCAACCCACGTGCCAAAGCTACGAGGCATAGCATGTCAGAATGTATCATGTATGGCACGTTACTGCGAGACATTAATCAAATTAAATAACGCTGATGAATTATTCGCCATCACTGGTAAATTATTGTTTCGCTGATCTATAATACATGTTTAATAAAACTTTCATTTGTTTAAAATTATTATTATCGTGAGGATGCCAAAAGTTCGTCGGTTAATTTTTACTTGTGTTATATAAATTGAGTTTTTAATTTGGCAGTGGCTATTGTTACATCAGTCCTAAACCAATTCCTACTTCTGATTGAATGTTATTCTCCTAATCAATTTCAAACATACAATAACATCCATTTGAAATTATGAATTAGGAAACGTGGTATGCTACCGTAAAGGTTGAGATCTGTATATTCAACCTTAAGCCCTGTCTATCAAATTTTACTTGAAAGAAACAAACACAAATTATACATGAATTGTACAGTGCAGCCCACTGGATTCTCTAGCATTACCCTGACATTAATCACTTTCCTGCCACAAGAAAATCAACAACATTTAATTACAGTATTTATTCAAATAAACATCCTTCTTTGAATAAATGGCTCTCCTTGATTAAATGCTCTGGGATTTTTATATTTTCCTCGAATAAATATCCCCCCTAAATGACTAAAAACAAAACTAGTGGAAGCAACATCATTCTCAGCACATTCTATAAATTTTCTACTCCAGTATACAGTAATTACATTTTTTTCCAATCTAATGAAATCTAATTTTGACGGTATCCATTTTACACCCAAAAAACAAACGTCTACCTCGAATAAATACCCCCTCAAAACCCTTCTCAACAATAAACACCCCAGGGGATTTTATTCAAATAAATATGGTATATTAAAAAAGATTTCTATAAAAAACACAACTCAATTAATTCCTAATCAATATTATCATTATTAAAATCAAATATGAATTCTTTAAGATTATGGTTATTATTTGAAGAAATTAATGTTGCTAGCAAAAATGAATATTTTAAAAATCATTTTATCACTCTACAGATTGAGAAATTAAGATGTTTTCCCAGGAGAAATAAACGACATTCAGTTGTTTTATGATCATGTAACAAATGACATGAGTTTTTTCGAATCTGCCGAAAGAAATTGCCAACATTAACAAACAAGAAACTGTATTCTTCAATTGAAACAGTCTAATTACTGAATATCTTATTTGAATATTACTGAAATACTTTAACAAATTAAGATGGAAAATTGGAGTAAATAACTGTCAATTGCATTTAATTTGGCAAAGGTTGAATGAAGACGTCAGTTTGTCCACACCTAATAATAAATGCATAGTTGATTATAGAATTAACTAACAAATCGTAATCTGTTGTTTAATTACAGTAAATATTTCAGGAATATGAAAAATAGTTGTCCTATTATTATTCTAAAATTTAAGACTGGAAATTCTGTTGTTATTAGTAGGAGTCACTGTGTGTTGTTGGTTAGTATAGTACTGTATTTGTATTAATATGAGGGCCACTTGATATCAGCTCTCTAATTTTAAATAGAACTGGCAGTTTAATTTCTGTGAAGATCTTGTATAAACAGATTAATAATAAAATATTTAATTTTCAGGAGGGGTACTTGATTTGATAATTAATGATTAACATTAGGCCAAAAAAAATAAATTGTTTGTTTGCCCTTCTTTTTAAAAAAAATGATAAATAGGGGCAGGTAGAAAAAAGTTGATTTTTGTTTACAAAATTACCCAGAGTTATCATTTTTGCAATGAATGTAGGGATAGAATCAGACAACAATTTTAGACAACCTTGTTTATCATCTAGCAAAAATTAAAAATCAATTCACTCACATTATTTTTTATTTTTATTTTTACATTTTTTTGTTTTTCCGCCCTGTATTTTTCAGTGAGTTAGAGGCAGGTGGAGAAGGGCAAACAAACAATTTTTTTCTTTGGCCTTTATGAAAATAAAATTTCTGATGTACTATGGGTTAAGATGGTTCTAAAAGAACCATTTTTTTTTTTTTTTTGGCAGAGCTGCTTTGACTATGGTCAGTACTAGATAAAAAGAAAAAGACATCTTTTGGGGGTGGGGGGGAGGCACTGCTAAATTGAGTTTTTTATAATAGTATCCATATTTTCAGGGTGGTTAATC